GGGGTTTAGGGTGTAAGTTTTGGGATTTGGGGGTTAGGGTTATAGGGCTTAGGACTTTTGAGTTTAGGCTTCTACTGGGTGTTGTAGTGTTTCTTATGGGGATAGATTTGTGATTTAGTTTTCGACCTGGGTTGTCCTGCAACGGACACACCGGGGTTTCCGTATGTAGGTTTTCGTAGAAGTGCTCTTGGGATGTCAAACTTGGAATTGAGACCATACTCCCTAAGCCCTAAACCCGAAAGCCAAAAACCTGCACCCCAAACCCAAAACCATCAACCCTAAACTCGAAACCCGAAACCCTCAAACAAAAAGCCTTGTGGTTTAGTGTTGTGGGGGTTTAGGGTTCAACGTGAGGCCCCTGAGAAAACCCTAAACCCTAAAACCCTAAACCCTAAACGCTCAGACATACAGCTTCGGATCTTTGGATTAGGGCTAGGGTTTAGGGTTTAGGATTATCTGCTCTCAGAGCCCTGAACCCTAACTCTAAGCTCCAATATAAGTGCCTGAATAATCAGAATAGGGTTTTGGGGGGGTATATTATGCTATAAATAATCATAAGGAGCCCCCCAAAATAGTATAGGTAGTTATTAGAATATAGACCCCTATATTACATCCCAAAGCTTGAATCCTGAAGGGTCTACGTAGGGTTTAGGCGCTAGGACTAAGGCTTCGGGTTTAGGGTTTAGGGTTTGGGGCTTCGGGTAAAGGGGTCTAGGGTTCAATATACGGTGAGAACTAGCCTTCCTTTAGGTGCCCTGGCTACGCAGATAGTGACCCTAAACCCAAAACCCTAAACCCCTGTTCTTTGACCTTGTACACTAAACCCTGAAACCCTAAACCCTAAACCCCAAACCAACCTCTAAACCCCTAAACCTTTTCTTGAAAAAATATTCGCAAATAAAATCCTCTCAGGCCCAACAAGGGGAAAGACAAAACATCCAGAAGACCTGCCTTGTACGGCAGATTTAGGGTTTAGGCCTACCCCGACTAGAATTTACTGGAAGGGAAGAGGGAGTTAAAGGCTTTGGGCTTCGGGCTTAGGGTTTAGGGCTTTCGGAGTTTAGGGTTTAGGGTTTAGGGCTTTAGGGGTTTAGGGGTTTGGGGCTTAAAGCCTGCATTTGCCCAATCTCGGACGGAAGAGATATGGACAGGATCTCTCAACCCCATGGAAGACTCGGTATCAACAAGAAGAGTAGTTCTTCAGATCCAGAGAACACAATACCCCTTAATTAAGGAATATACCCTAAATCATAATATTAAGGCTCCTATACTTTCAGGTATAGTCCTTAATTAAGGTGTATTGGGTTCTCTGGGGAAACACCAGAAAAAAAGCTTACAACCTCCGCTTTCGACTCGAGTGACGTCTGAACGGTCTCTGCTTCGAGGTTGCGCGAGGCGGAGAGACCGACCTCATTTAAAGGCATAGAAGAGCATTCACGACTCGACTGAGGTCCCTTACAGAATAGGATTTGGGTTTGGGCTTTAGGGCCCTAAACCCTAAACCCTAAACCAAGTAAGGGCCGACGATAAAAAGCTTCGTGCTTTAGGGTTTAGGGTTTAGGGTTCAGGGTTTAGGGTTTAGGGTTTAGGGGGTCTACTATGGCGGAAAGGTGCCCAGATCTGGTTTAGGGTTCTTACAGGGTTCGTCAGTTCCACTATGTATGCTTGAGGGCTTAGGCTTTAGGGTTTAGGGTTTAGGGTTTAGGGTTTAGGGTTCAGGGTTTAGGGGTTTTTTTTTTTTTAAAGTGTAGT